GGTCACAGACTGGGCCACGGAGGTGTTGACCCCTGAAACCCTCTCCATATGCCACTGTGAATAAAATACCCTGACATTTCCTGAATACATATTTGTAAGTGAACTGTCTTTGAATTCAATAAAGTTATTGCATACCAGCTCATAATTACAAGGTGTGACAATGGTCCATCTGGAAAAGTTTACATTGAGTTATTTCTACATCAGCTAGTGAAGAAATCTCCCAGTCATGTATACGTAAGTTTATTGTTAAAGGTAGTAAATTAATACTCGAGTAGTCAGCAACCTTTACCATATTTTAAACTTTTAGGTTAGATTAGGCTGTGTTAAGTTAGGTAATCCATGTGTCACATCACCCCAACCTAAGACAGATTATTCACAAAGAAACAACAAATATTTTGCACACAATTAACCCTTTGACTGTTTTGGTCGTATATATACGTCTTACGAGCCACCGTTTTTTACTATATACAGTGGACCCCCGCTTAACGATCACCTCCCAATGCGACCAATTATGTAAGTGTATTTATGTAAGTGCGTTTGTACGTGTATGTTTGGGGGTCTGAAATGGACTAATCTACTTCACAATATTCCTTATGGGAACAAATTCGGTCAGTACTGGCACCTGAACATACTTCTGGAATGAAAAAAATATCGTTAACCGGGGGTCCCCTGTACTCATAAATTCTAGCGACTTCAAATCAAGCAGGAGAAAGCTGGTAGGCCCACATGTAAGAGAATGGGTCTGTGTGGTCAGTGTGCACCATATAAAAAAAATCCTGCAGCGCGCAGTGCATAATGGGAAAAAAAATAAACTCCGACTGTTTTTTTTAATTAAAATGCTGACTTTGTGATCTATTTTCATATAGTATTTATGGTTGTATTCTTGTTTTCTTGGTCTCATTTGATAGAATGGAAAACATATTATAGAAATAGAGGTGATTTTGATTGGTTTTACTATAAAAAGAACCTTGAAATGGGGCTCAAAGTAGGGGAAATGTTTGATTTTTGCCGATGTTCAAAAGTAAACAAATGATGCCATTGTCCAATAAATGTCCAACTAGCCATTCTAATATGCAGCCATGAATGGGTTGACATTATTTATACAATTATTACAATATTGCAGTAGTCTGCATAACAGTAAATCTTCCATTTTTTGCTTGAATAAAAATTCAAAATAGAAAGCAAGAGTAATATCAGAGGGGCCTCGAGACATGATTGATGAACAAACGAAATGTTATTTTAGAGCCAGGAATGTCTGCATTGTTCATTCTGGACCCTATTTTGAAATTGTCATATTTTTTAGTTTTTGTGAAATTGGCCAAATTGCAAATTTCTGACCATGTTATTGGGTAGTTGAAATCGGTAAATGGGCAGTTTCTTGTACTCAATTGATAGAAAAAAATGGAGTTCTAAAGAAATAGCTATGAGTTTGGTTGACTGGAACAATGGAATTAGCCAAAAATTCTCCTCAAAGTGGGCGAAATCGCCGATTTGTAAATATCGCCGAGGTCGCTAACTTCACGAGAGCGTAATTCCGTCAGTTTTCTATCAAATTTCATTCTTTTGGTGTCACTACCACCTGGAAAAAATTCTCTATCATTTCGTATTTTTTTTTTTTTTTTAATTTTTGTAACACCAGGAGACACCTCAGAATTTGGGGCTGTGACAGTCAAGGGGTTAAACAAAATATATACGATGTTTCTGAAGGCACTATGTTTCGGAAATACAGCAATGCTACCTTATGTAGCTTTAACCTATGCTACTCAGTTATGTCAATAGTGTGACTGATTTCCACATAATACGTATACAATATGACTTGCATGTGAAAATTAACCCTTAACGAAGTACCAAATGCACAAGATATACCTCAAATTTCAAAAAAAGTACATTAACTGCATAGCAACAACAAAATGATTATTGTACATGAACAGTATACAATACTGACAAAAGAAAATTACACGTGCAACATCTGGGTGTTATTGTAGATGTTTCACCAACCCGTGGCTTTATCAATACAAATTCAAGGACATAATTGAAAGACAGTAGAGCTATATACAAAAGATGAGGTAATAAGTCCCTCAGCCTTGGAGCCGGTGAAGAGCACCGTAGTCATGAAGAGTCTGAAGCACATGTACTGACGTCAGGTGACGAGGGACGTGTAGTAAACAAAGACATTGTCACTGGTAGGTGGGATTCCCTAGTGAAAGTAGGTCATACCCGAGGGAAGGGTCAGTAGTAGTTAAGAAGGTTGTGGAGATGTCCTCTGAACCATGATTCCACAATGTTGCAGTGTCTGATACGTTGTACATGAATGGTATACAATACCGAGATGAAAATTACACACATGTGCAACATCTGGATATCTTTACTGTAGACAATTTGCCAACACATTTCTGCTACATGTCCCTCACCACCTGATGCCAGTATATAAGCACCAGTTAACCGTGCTTCAGATTCTTCATGACTACGGTGCTCTTCACCAACTCCAAGGCTGAGGGACTGATTACCTCATCTTTTGTTTATAGTTCTACTGTCTTCCAATTAGTATGTCCTTGAATTTGTATTGATAAAGCCAATGACTAGTGAAACGTCTACAATAAAGATACCCAGATATTGCAGCTGTCTAATTTTCAGAAGGATTATTGTACATTCAGGGTAAGTTAAGTAGGTTTATTATTCACAATTGTTTTAAGTAGTAAAATGTGTAAATTACCTAGAATAACCCAATAAAGCCAAACAAAGTAACTCATTTCCATCTGGGTCCTTGCTTTACATAAATATTAAATACACTGCTAGCTATGAAAATGAAAATGTTCATTTCCTTGCAAATCTTACAATGTGTGGTTTACATATTATAAAATATTAATTACAAAGAAGATCACTAACATGCCTGGGCCTTTTGGGCAGACTAATCCTAATTCTTACTCTATATTGGCACAGGTTATGGAGCAGTACACTTCAATATAAATTATTGCATACTGATATGAAAGTTAGGTAATTGCAGTGACTAGCATTAATCAGAATAATAATAGTGTGGTAGTACAAAACATATAACAATATTACAATTAGTAAATTTAGTAATGGGAATGGTTTTATCTTGGCATGATACACTGTTTCTATAAAAGCTCCTATATTGGGAGAGTATTTCAGGCAAACTTAGGACTAACTTAAGATTTATTAGGCAATAGCTATATGTATTAGGAATTTTATGTTTATAGTCATTTGGGTGAGTGTAAGTGTAAATTAGGGGGAATTACAGATAATGAGAGTAAGCATTTTGTTTTGGACATGTTCAAGATACATTATAAAGGCAGATGATACTAATTATAATTCTGTAACAAATAACTGATCCACAGTTCAGCAAAAATATATCTTGTGCACTTTTTTTTTGGAGAGTGGGAGGGAAGATATATTAGCAACAAAATTTTTATGGAAGGTAGAACCTATTGGATAATTTATACGCTGGGTCAATCAGCATGCATGACATGCTAGTACAATGATGTAAGCAGTTCCAATACCACTAACACCTAAGCAATGTTTCCCGAGTGTACAATGAATTACGTGGGATTAGACCAAGTGGGTTAGGAAGAGTTGGGTTGTTTTGGGCTACAATGATGTTGGTAGAATTATCGACAATATGTAAAGTAAAAGGACACAAGTGCAACTAATGTGACATTTTATTAATCGCTGTTTCTGACACAATCAAGCAAAATAAAGGCAGCTTCATCATCTCCGAAGTATTAGCAAAAATCCACCTCAAAACTGCAAACCCTGCCGTCACATAGTCTCTGTTACACAAGAACACAACAGAGAAGGAACAATGATACAGACCTTCTCAGATCCAACCATCGACAGAAATATTTGTCTAACCTATTTTTATGCTACCCAAATAACATTTTTTTGACCTTTTACTCATATGCAAGTTGGTTATTCTACCATATCATATTACTACTACTATTACATCTTATACATGTATTAGTACTACTACTACTACTACTACCACTAGCATTACACCTCACTCGAAGCCTATATACGCATATACCCTCTGTGTCCATGTATTGTTTGTAACGGCTTGACAAAGCTCCCGTGAAGAGCAAAAACGTTGCCACAATAAAATGTTACATTAGTTGCACTTGTGTCCTTTTACTTTACATGATTTAGGCTATGTTAAATTAGGAATAAGATCTTCCTAAGCATTCAAGCCAAATAATATCCAAAAGTCATCATTTCCCTAATATGCACAAAATTTAATTACTTGCACTGTATAAACCAACTAATATTACTAACTTTCCATTACAAATTTTCAAGAAACTCAACTTAGTCCCATAACTCAATATTTACCAAAGCGAACATAAAAGTTGCTTTAGTGAACATACAAGTTGCTTTAATATAAAGGTGACATGAATATTAGTTGTATAAGTGTACTTTACGTTCTAATAAAGTTGGTAGAATTATCGACAATATGTAAAGTAAAAGGACACAAGTGCAACTAATGTGACATTTTACTGTACCAACGTTTCACTGTCAAGGCTTGTCAAAGCTCCTGGAGAGCGAAACGTTGCCACAATAAAATGTCACATTAGTTGCACTTGTGTCCTTTTACTTTACATAAACATTAAGCATACATACATGACAATCTATTCTCAACTATTCTTAATAGTAATAATGAGCAATATAAATGTATATCTGAAATCAAGGTTATATTCTGCAAAAACTTTAATACAAATACTTAGAGGTACAAACTTCTACATTATAAAGGCAGATTGCTCTCACAACTAAAAATGCAAATAAAATTGTATTTTAGCCTCATTCATAACTTGAAACGTTTTTTATATTGCAAATTATGTCGAATATAACTTAGAATAAGAGTTAAATGAGGAGAATGAAGAGAGATTTTCTTCACATTGGTAAAAAATCACTCGTGATTATAAGTAACTGAATAAATGTAAGAGTTTACAAAGCATCTGATGTTAAATTAGATGAAGAAAAAGGGTAATTACCTGACACATTAATGTGTTGTTGCACGGTGAAGAGGATAGTAGAGGTTGATGAAGCGGCTTCCATGAAGACGAGTGTTGAAGCAGCAGCAGTAATACTAGCCACTACTAGTGACTCCTAGTACTAGCAAGGCTCTCCACACTGCTGATGATACTACTAGTGACCACAGTCAACACACACATCACTTTCTGGCGTATAAACACTTCGAGAGAGAGAGAGAGGGTGAGAGAGGAGAGTAATACCTCACACAAGTCATGAGAGTTTTCCAGCAGTTTTAATGTTGCACTCGCCACCACCTTCTGCCCCTCATCAATACTACTCTATTAACTCACCTGCATTCTCATGCAACTGAACTGTGAAGTTAAAAGGGCTTATAATAACAAATGTTGATGAGAGAGTATCAGTAGTAGAATAAAGAACATTATATGAGCGGCAGCAGAGACTGCCTCCTCCTTCTCATTGGTGCTCCTCCAAACATTACAAACATGACGGGCTAACTCAACCTCTACATTACTCTCATCACGTACGCATATATAACACCATATTTCACATTCTCTTTCATTGTTTCGTTGTCTTTTGCTTACTTTATAATTCGCTTTCGTTAATATTTCATCTATATGAGTTATTATAGAATAAATCGATACTCAGACGGGCGTCTCAGGGACAAAGGCAAAACAGCTTCTAAAACAGATGCTGTGGCGCCTGGTTTAAATTATTATTCTCTACTAGTGTTCTGCTTTTCACTCTAATTTGATCAATTTCTCTCACGTACACTAGTTAATTAATTGTTTTTGAAGCCTATCGACTTAGTTGGAAATTTACACACCTGTTCCCAAACATCATGTTGATGATCTTGTCAATATTAATGAAGGATGGGTTTATTGGTAGCCATCCAGGGAGATATTTTTTATGAACTCCTCGTTAACAGTGTTATTGAGAGTACTCAGATTTAAAAGGAAGATGATAAAAGTTGTAATCTACAAACAGAACAGATTTAAGTGCCTAAGTTACACTGTTAAGGCCATTCATGTGTGTAAGGAAAAGCAGAGGACAGAGAACACTGCCCTGAAGCACCCCTATGATGATAGGTAAAGTTAGTAATTTTATTTACATACAGGTACACATAAGTACAATTATCATACATAGTGTAATAATTTGATTTACGTACAGGTACACATAAGTATAATTATCATACATAGTGTAAATTATCAAGGATAGCCCCAAAAAAATCAGTGACTTATTTCCATTGGAATCCTTATCGAGGTTATGTCCTTGATGGTGACATATTGATGTCTCATTAAGGTAGGACTTTAAGTATGCAAGAACACGACCTGACACCATGATGTTCTAGTTAAAGATGGAGGATGTTGAGGTCAACTGTATCGCAAACTTACGTAAGGTCTATGAAGAGGCCCATTGGATATTTATTATTTTTAAGAGTTTCATAAGTAAGTTTATTAAGGTATATACAAACACAGTTACATAGATTATCATACAGCAGCATATGTGTAGAGAACCTGGGATAACCCAAAAAAGTCAGACCAAGTGACTTATTTCCACTGGGGTCCTTTTAATACCTTATTATTATAATATGAAGGAGATATTATCTTATTATTATATTGTAAAGGAGATATACTATGAATAAGGTAAAACTAATTATTTATATTTACATGTGTGTTAGCAAAAAAAAAATAAAAACTCATTCTCCTCCCTTTCTGTAGCTACATTCATCAGACACCTTTTGGCACTCTTCTTGAACTGGTTCATGCTATGACTGGCTTTGACATGTGCGGGCAGTCTGTTCCATTCCTTTATTGATGTACAATAAAAGGTGTTTGAAGCCTGGCCACTGACTGTGGCTACTACAAAGTTGTGCTCTCTCCCCGTAGTATTATTATTATTATAATCAAAAAGAAGCGCTAAGCCACAAGGGCTATACAGCTCTCCCCCTAGTATTATGGTTGCTTTGGTTCCCAACCTTGACAAAATTATCAGCAAAATATTCTGGATGCTGTTTATAAGCAATTTTATAAACTTGATTTAACTTCATTTGTTTTACTCTGTCTTCAATATTCAGCATATCCAACTGTTGTAATTCATCCTGGACTACATGTTCTCTTGGACCCAGGTCCGATTTATTATTCGTACTCTTTCTTCTTTCTTGGCGTGAAGCCAAACTGGCAGAGGTTGAGTATTGTGGGACACTAGGAAAGAGTATACTCACTAATGAATTTTTTTTTTTTCGAAGATTTTAGAATAGGAAGGAGGCACACGACTGGTGTTGCACAGTCTTCAAGCTCTAACGACAAGTCTTTCCAACATTTTGGTTAGGAACTCCCACCCTGATATCGTGAACATCCTTACCTATCATTTTCCTCTCCTGTCATCTATGACACTGGGAGGCATAAAAACACTGAACATCAGGCATTACTGAAACTTTAAATAGAAAAATATCTAGTACCTTTCTTCTCTTTGGAGGCAGTTTAACTGCCTCCCAGCATACGCAAGGGGATATTACCAGTATACCCTTGGCTGTCTTCAAGAGAGAACTGGACAGGCACCTAAAGTCAGTACTGACCAGCCTGGCTGTGGTTCGTACGTTGGTTTACATGCTGCCAACAGTAACAGCCTGGTTGATCAGGCTCTGATCCACCGCGAGGTCTGACCATGGACCGGGCCGCGGGGACGTTGACCCCCGGAACACCCTCCAGGTATACTGGCTGTGATTCAACTCTGGCCTGAGAGGCCGCTCACAGGTCTTTGTTTCGAAGCCTTGCAGAAGTACCCTGATGATGTCATTGAAGCTACGGGTTCTTTCCAGCCTTTCATTGACCTGTAGATAGATAATTATCTATCTTGATTATAATCAATTTTTAAGTTCCTTTATTATTTAATTATTCAGGTTTATGGAGGAGGTATGAGTTTGGTGAATCATCAAAGGAAGCAGTTGTTCTGCCAGCGAAATCATAATGTAGAGAATATTCCACTGACTAAGAATGCCCTGTACCCCCACTGTCAACTGGCTCTCTATCAGGTCAGCATCTGGGTATCTGCCCATGATCCACTAGTTCTGAAGATTTTTTTTTTACATAATTTCCTAAATGTAGAACGTAAAAATTAATAATATAATAACTGCGCATTAAAATGTGATGCTATTTGGACACATTTGTAATTTGTGGGCACTGGTTATCGTAGGTAATTCAACTAATAATCCCACGTCTTTTGGCCAAATTGGGGTTTTCCGGCTGAATTTGTAATAGGGACCCGTATTAACGTCCACTGCTGAAGAATTGGGACAGGGAATTTGCGGGACCTCAAGGATTACGTGTGAATGCGGAAGATAAGGGATACGACCTTCACTCACAGGGAAGTGTGCCATTAGTCCTTGTATTTAGATCTCTAACTGGCCAGTGTAGGGTCTAGGTGTCAGGCAGGTGGTGTGACTCATCTACAGTAATTAACAAGTAAGTAGTAGCACGAATTTCTTTTGTGTACTCAGCAAGACTAATCATATACAGTCCACAACTTTAATTTACCGGAGTAGCTGGTTTTAATATTGTAATTATTAATTTAATGTCATGTCTAGCTTTTTGTGAGAGTGGTAGGGAGTGAGCACCGAGGGATTACAGTCCAGCGACGTACTGTGACTAAAGTCCCACTTATCTCACCCACATTACTTGCAGGTAATAATTCAGATAATACCCTGTAAACCTAATGCAGGTAATTTGCTCACGTAATAATAATAATAATTCACATAGCTAGTTTGGAATGGGGAAATATTCCATGAAGCGGAGAAGTGCCACTTTGCCTCACGTGACATAGATCTTATATCTGGTTCATGCGGAGGTCGGCTCCAGTTTTTTCTATCCATACCTGGAGAGTTCCGGGGGTCAACGCCCCCGCGGCCCGGTCTGTGACCAGGCCTCATGGTGGATCTGGAGGGATGTTCACCAGTGCTGAGGAAAGTTTGGAGGGCTTTTGTGCAGGAGTTTGTATGGGATTGCCTGAGTATATTGACCCGTATGAGGATATTTCTTTACCCTTATCTCTAGTGTTTCCTCTCCCCCGATTCTTCTTTACCTATCCCCACTTCCTCCTCACCCCTGGTGGGTCCTTACCTGTGAATCCCCATCAAGGATATTTCAGTAACACGATCTCTGATGCTTGGAATATCAAGTTCTTCCCGCATATTTAAAATTTTGGCAGTACGAGGGCATCCTAGAATGATCCTCATTCAAAATTCAAAATTCAAACTTTATTCTCTATAAGTATTACAATGCTGAGTTTACCGAATTTGGTTATTGTGTGGTTTACATGTAGTAAAATAATAATTACAGGGAGGGATCCCAATCATATGTAGCATCTTGCCTAGAAGGGGAGTAGGAAATGAATGGTTGTCTAGGGCAATTGGTGTAAATTGCTGGCTAGACAGATACTGCAAGGAACTTGCAATCCCATTCATTGACAACTGGAACAACTTTTATGGCAAACATGATATGTATGCAAGGGATGGGGTTCATCTCTCTGGGGCAGGGGTGGTAGCACTTGCAGACTCGATTGAGAAGGCCATTGGTGAAATGCCTATGATTTAAACTGATGGAAGTTTAGAGGTATGGGTGTTGTGGGAAACAAGCAGGTTTGCAACACTGGGGTTTGGGAAAACAGTAAATGTATAAAAGGCATTCAGCATGAAGTTATAAATAAAGACAATAGAACGGGTCAGCAAACAAAGGGGGACAGCAAGGGCAGCAAGGGACTAGCCCCCTTTAAGGTTTACTATACTAATAGCGGGATGTTAGAAATAAGATAGATGAGCTAAGATTAATTGCAAGTGCGGGAAACATAGATATTATTGCTATAACAGAGACCTGGCTCAATCTGAAAGATAGAGAGATGCCCTCTGAATGTCAAAATACAAGGCTATAAATTATTCCACACTGACAGGTTCAACAGGAAAGGTGGTGGAGTACGATGTATGCAGAGACCCAAATTTTAAAATTTTTTGTGTTAGACAAGATATTAAATTAGAAGCGTCAGCCACTGAATCTGTTTGGTTACAGCTTCTCGAGGGCCGAGAAAAACTAATTTGGGTGTGATTTACAGGGCCCCAAATCTTGAAGGGAGTGCAGTAAACTTCTATGGGACGAAATTCGTAAGGCATTACATACGAAAATGTTGTGCTAATGGAGATTTCAACTATAGACAGATTGACTGGAGCAATTTGACAGGAAATTTAGAGTCGGGTTTACTTTCTTTATACGATCCAGGATTGTTTTTTAAAACAGTTTGTGACAGAGCCAACTAGGGAAAATAACCCCCTTGATTTGGTTCTTGCCAGTAGGGAAACAAAATTTTAAATCTTGAGGTTAATGTAGCTTGGGGAGAGGTACAAATCACTCAGTTTTAACATATCATGGAACCCCCTAATAATGGAATCAAGCTCCGTCCCGACTTTCGCTTGGCTGATTTCATAGGACTGAAAAATTTTTTAGGGGGCTGAACTGGAAGCC